TTCCGATCTGTTCATGTTTATATCATTTAGTTCATTTCAGACCTCAAGTCATCTAAAACTTTTCTGGGACAGTTTTTCCAAAGAGAATCTCAAGATTCCAGTAGAAAATTTTAACCTTTTGTCCCGATTATCATGCAAATCAAATGATTGTGTACCTTCTAGACTTATAATAATGACTCTAAGTGCCTATACAGCTCAGATTTTCCATCTTTCATGTGCATTTTTCACCTGGTTCAAAGGTAGTTTTCCAAATGTTTCGTTTAGTCTGTTGAAAATCCTTCCACCTGGTACTGATAGTTGAATGTGATGGTAACTATATACCATTCTTTGCCTTCCATTGGACTCCTTCAGTGTCTTTATGTGTGAGATTATTGACAGAATTAGATATTATTTTACAGTAGAGTTACAGCTGTCCAAGTTCTAAATAACAGCTATGACTAACCCCATGGGGGAAGATTCCTAATAATTTTCCAAGTTTCTGTGTCAGTGACAGGTTTCATGCATATGCTCAGCTATTAAAGTATTAGAGTTTCTTTGATTTCTTAATCATTAACAACTTTAGCTTTGATTGCCCAGGGAGTTGCAAGCTGTTAAAATTATCATTTGCCTCTTAACTGATTTTGAAACCAAGAGCTGTTTCTTCACTTGATGTAGTACAGGTCTTTCTCAGAGCACACACAGCTCAAGAGCACTAAGAATCTACTGTAAGAAAACCTATTCTAAAACAATGAATTTGTGAAATAAATGGGAGTAAAAGCAGAGAATTCTTAAATACTAAAGAGTTCAGTTTTTTAAAAGATTCAACAAAGAATTTTTTTCAGTAGAAAACATACCTTTTTTTTTTACAATTTAGTATTTAAATAGTGGTTATTTTCTGTTAAAAAAGAGAGAGAGATAGGAAAGCTGAAAGCTGTGTTTCAATGTTAAAAAGTCACTTGAAATTCAATCAGAGCTAAGATAATGTTGGATTATCATGTAAGTCAATGGAATGTTAAAAAACATCCTGGAAAAATTCTGTTTATACACAGCCTTTTCAAAGTCATGCCCTTACAATACTTTACCCATAGTAAATACTCAATAAATATTTGTTAAATAGATTTGCTATATGTTAAGATCAATTGATGGTGTGATAAAATGAAATGTTACCTTGAGCATTCATTCGTACTTTCATTCATTCATCCACCATCCATTCAGAGATAGTTATTTACATTCCAAATGTAGTTTATTGAAAAATTGAGAAATGATGACTTATTTTATAAAAAATGACTTTTCTCTAATGTTATAATTGTATTTCTACAACATTGGGCTGAAGGAATTTATTATTGGTCCAAGAAGCTCCTCTGGTCTAGTTCTGTGCAGGCTACTTAAGAAGTACATGAGAAGCTAGTTAAAATAATAAATTCCTAATCCCCATTCCCAAAGATTTTGTTCGGTAGATCTAGGGTGAGCCAAGCATTTGAATTTTTTTTTTGAAAGCTACCCAGATACTGATATACAATTAGGTTTCAAAACCTAACATAATATCTAGAACTGTTTCTTCCAGAAGAGTCAGTTACCACAATTATTTGCTTAGCTTATTTATAGTGTGCTTGAGGTGATGACAGGGATAGGATGTTTTCCATAGACAGGACATCAGGAAAAGGAACATCTAGCTTTCCTCAGTTCAGTACTTCTGATTTCTGGTGATTCCTTCTAAGTATCAATACAGTGCCAGGCAATACCCTGTGGATATGCCACTACTTAAAGCAGGGAAAGCAAAAGTCAGCACTACCTGGAAGCTCTCTTATACTTATAGGCCAACACTAATACTGTTCTTTATATGAGCCCTATCCCTGCCCTTTCTGATGTCATTCTTTATGTCACAAAGCCCTCCCAAACTTGTCTTCATACCTTTCTCTAAAGAGATAGAATGGAAGGTTCTGGCTTATAGAGGTCCTATTCTTGCTAACCCAGGCAAGCAAGAACGGATACACATAGTGCATCTTCGCCCAATCCATTCAGTCTACCTTTCACTTTGTGACCCTTACTCTGAGCTTAGAATTAGACCTCTCATTTTACAATTCTGACTGTATTTTCTTTTTTCTTCACCTCTCCTAAGTAAGATTTGTTCTTAAGTACTGACCTGTACAGTTTCTCCCGAATTAATCAACTTATTTCCTTTTCTTCTACAAGCTAATCTTGATGTATTTTCCATCTCCTGTATAATAGAATGTACCTCTAATCAGTCCTTCCCACTCAATATCATTATTATTAAGCATAATCATACATTAATTTTAATGTATTGTGACTTTGAGTGCTTATTTTAAAAATCTCTTTCTCGTTTGGAACTGCTGCTCTCTACATCTGTCTAAGGAAGCAGATAATTTTGCTTGCAGACTATAGGCTTGCTAAGCGCTATGTGCAGGTAGACAGTGACATAGCATCTGTCAGATGTCTATATGTCAGTCTAAGATGAACATATGTCATATCCTTTTACGGTCCTTGATATTTGTGCCTATTAAACATCTGTAGTATATTAGATGCTGTGCAGGATAAAGCATAGCTGGGCAAAGTCTAATAATTACTGTCTCATCCTATACTGAAAGTTAATATAATTGAAGACTATAGGAAATACTTCCATTTTTCTCTTCTCCAGAGTAAATAATTCAAATCCCTTCAACCACTTTTGTTTATTATCTCCATGAACCCCAAACTCCATTAACGTAAATGAAGAAACATGGTTAAACAATTTTAGCCTCTTTTATTAGCGATATAAAACTTCACAGCTGAAAAAAGGAGGCTAAAATCAAATGAAACCTGGAATGGATCAATGAGGACAAAAGCGTCCCTAAATACATTCCCTAAAGATAAAATCATTCAAGTCTTCTAGAACAGACTGGCTAGCAACTGCTGCCCCACACAAGTACCCCAAGTTCTTGCCTCACAAAGTTTTTTTTTTTTTTTTTTTGCCTCTCTAAGATGATTCTTTAAGGAGGAAAAAAAAATCAGGAAAACATTCAATTTTTTAGAAATGACACTTCTAGCACATTATAGTACTAACCCTTGTGTTATCTCTTGGTGTGGCCCCAATTGAAGAGTACTTCCAGATTTTTTTTCCATTAATGAAAAGAATAGGTTTGAGTTCTTTTATATCGTTAGAAAATAACAACCAACGTTTTGGTGGTACAGGGTCATCACTAAAATGATAACAAGAATGAGTGTGTTGTACCCTTTTTTCACCCTGTTCATCTTCTAACTTTATTTTTGTTTTTCATATAGTTCTTTGTGAGATGCTATCACATAAGAAATACATGTAAATGTCATTATGAGTGACTTTGCAGTTTTTCGTGGAAATGTCATTTATCTAAGTCATAATTAATAACATTCAAGATTGAATCATTTCCTAAGGCAACCTCAGCGTTAGTTTGTGCAGTGTTTCACCAGGTCTGTTCATTTTCTATCTGTTGTCAGAGTGCAGGCATCTTCGAGTGTATCTTGTTCATGTAGTGGGGACATTGTTACTCACAGTAACTTCATATTAATGATACAGTTAACTTATGGTATCAGTGTACGAGTCAAGTATCTGGATGGTGAGAATATTAGGTGGTTCTGTTTATAAGTATAAGTAGAAATGGGAAAAAATGGAAGGACAAACAACATAACGTGCATGATGATATCTCTAGGTAATAAGCTCATTGTAGATTTTAACTTTTTCTTGCGTTTATCTGTTTTTTTAAATTTCTAAAACGAAGAAAAATATGCAATCTTAGAGAAAGAAGAAATTATAGTTGCTGCTTATTTCTTACTTTGTATTTGCTTATCCTAGGAGACTTACCTATGCATTTTTCGTATGCGGTATTTCTCTCCCAAGCAGTCTTTCCCTTCTTGCCCATGCTGCTGAAGCATATTTTCTCTATTTTAGCAGTATGGAACGTTCATGAGTTTGTATAACGAGGACCTAAATATAAATACATAATTGTAGCTGACTTTGATTCTTTTTATTTTTTAAATTTGGTAACCTAGGTTTGTAGATGGATTTTTGCATGCATTTTGCTGCAAGCCAATGCTTATGGTCTTTGTATTTGCAGATGTGGAAGGAGTCAAAGGAGATGAATGTGTTGATATGCATGGGAGGCTTTAGATGATACGAAAAACAGTATGGTAGAGTTTGTAGGCTGAATCATATTTTGGAGGTATAAATTAAATGAAAGCCATTCATTAACATTTCGCAGGCCCAATGTCCTAGATCTTAATTCAGATTAACATCCCAATGTATTTAACATGTTTCTCCCTTGATCCATTGGCCATTAAAAGTTATGTTCAAACTGTGTATTAACACTATAATCATGGACATCTTTGCTACTGCTGTCCAAAGAAATACCTCATAACACTTTCATTCTTAGCTAAATTTCTGAATTTTCGAAAATGGGTCCCCTTCCTAAGCCCCTCCCCTTCTTTTTCCTTTTTACAATTTAAAAAATTTCTTCATCCTAACTTTATGAGACTGTCAAGGAAGAAACTCTTACAACTATCATAAGACATTAAAGAAGACAGAACAAAATTGAATGCCTTGGGAGTTTTGTGTAGTACAAAAAAGCAAGGAATAATTTGGTTTATTTGTTTTTTCCCATCTAATATTTTTAGGTACAAGCCTATGCAGAAAGTGGATGGGGTTGCAGATGGTTTCACAGGAAGTGGTCAACAGACAGGCACATCTGTTGAGCAAACTGTAATTGCCCAAAGTCAACATCATCAACAGTTTTTAGGTATGTTAAGGTGTAATGCATATTAGTTGCTATCAGGATTTTGAAAACAAGAGAACAACAGTAGTGTTTTCTCCAAGTACAATGTCTATTACAGATGTTAATTACATAGATTTTTGTGTGTGTGTGCTGAAACTATGCACATTATATGACAGTTCTAGTTCATTTCTACTTTTTCATAGAAAAAGAGCTTATTTTTTAAAATGTCAAGCTATGTAGAACTTTTAAATGCATATGAATTAAAGGCTCATTTCTATGAAATTGTTTACCAGAATTTGAATTAATTGGGCATTTATGATCAAAATTGTGTGGTAGTTTCAGTAGTAACTTGAAGTGCCAAAAAGAATTCTCATTTCCTGCATATAAAGTTGCATATGCCTATAGTCTCAGATTAGAAAAAATTATTATAAATTTTTAAAAAGTAATTTATTCTTTTAAATTGATCACAGTGCTTCCTACTTTTGTAATTTTATAGATGGTATGCATGTTTCTTGTTATTTAAAGAGTTAAGGAAGTGGGACTTGAACATTTTGCATATTCCTGTCATAGCTAAAGGTGCAAAAATGGCACTTTAATTGACAGCTCTTCTAGAGATGAACATGCATAGTTTCGGTACAACAGATCAAGATAAGTAGAAGCTCTCAGAGAGTGCGTGTGTGTATGTGTCTGTGTGTGTGTATATGTGTCTATGTGCACTTTCTGACAAAGACAACTGAAATGTACTCTGGGGTCAGAATGGCTACTGAAGTTGAAAGCAGTATGGCAGCATTCCCAAACTAGAGTCCTCAAGTATATTCTTGTAGACCCTTGAGCTCTCAGCAAGTATCTTTATGTTTTTTATTTTGTGTCCTTATTTCAATTATAATCTTAAAAAAAAATAAAAGCATATTCTGGATTACCTGGAAGACTAGAACGAATACTGTTCTGCAATTTTAGTTTCCACATTTCTATTTGAATTTATCATAAGGTTGGCACCAAAGCGTATTGCATTAATTGTCCGGAGCCAATGAGAAAAGAACAGAGAGAGACTTACTGTGTAAATTACGCCTTCATGCCAAGGGAAGGCTAAATGACGTCCCAGTGCTCTGTGTAGAGGAAAGTTTCACAGCTCATTTGAATATAGAAGCATAATGGGAGAACCAGCCACCATGAAGTACGTGTTGGTATGGGGTTATCAAACTCAAAAGATCCTGCGCTGCGGCAGTCAATACCATATTCGTGTTGCAAGAGGTAGTTTAGTTACAGGACAACAGCATCATCTATCATATCAAATTAATGTTGTTAAGTTTAATGTTATTTTTTTAGGTTTCTTTGTACTTATTTCGTAGGTCTTTTGGTTTATGATTATATGAGAGGTATAAGCATAATAAGTTTAAAGCTAGATTTATTTTTATATACCTAAGTAATATAATGATAAAAATAACTAAAATTGATACTGGCCAGCTCAATGTATTTTTCTTATCATAGGGGTCCTATATTGAGAGACACTGAGATGTGTTATTTCCAATATAATCATAGTGAAAATTTAGTTTCTCCAAAATTTTAGAAGTATCCTCTCTATTCTTTGGTGCTGCTGCTGCTGCTAAGTTTTGTTTATAAAATACTAATATGAAAAGTCCTTGCTTTTTGGACCACTGACCTTTAAATTTTTTTCCTTTTTAATCTTCTTAAATTTGCCCTCATTAAGCTGTAATTGGCACCATCCACAATAACTTTTTTTCTGTTGTGTTGTCGTGGTAACAGATGCATCTCGAGCACTTCCAGAGTTTGGAGAAGTTGAAATCTCTTCTCTGCCAGATGGTACTACCTTTGAGGATATCAAGTCACTGCAGAGTCTTTATCGAGAGCACTGTGAGGTAAGTCTTTTCAAACACAGTCAGACACGTGCTAAGTTTTGCCAGGCAACTTGCTAAAGCAAAATAATCAAACATATTCCTAGAGGACAGATAAAGTTGCTTCATATTTCTTTGAGCACTAATAAGTTACCTTTTCTTCATGTCTCAGGGAGAATAAATTTTACTTTCCATCTTCTTAGCCTATTCTAATACGAATCCTTTGATGAAGCAATTCCACTTCTAGGTACTCCTTCTAGAAAAATGCTTACATGTAGGGGAAGAGATAAGTGTACAGGGAGCTTGTTGTGTTATGGCTTTTAATGAAAAAGATTGCTTATAACTTCAATATCTAACAGGGAACTGAATAAATAAAATATGGTATGATCTATAGAGTAGAATGCTATGCAGCCACTAAAAAGAACAGGCAACTCTAAATGTACTTTTTGGAACAAGCTTCAGGATTTGTTTTTAAGGGAAAAAGCAAGATGTAAAACAGCAAGTATAATATATTATCATTTGAGTGAAAAAGAACATGTTATATACATCTCTCCAGAAGAAGGAACAAAATATTAATGCTGGTTGCCTTTGGGAACAAAACGTAGTGACTGGGAGTCAGGGGAAAGAGCCTTAATTTTTCAATATACTCTTTTTACCTTTTGAATTTTACATGATAACTGTGTATTTCTATCAAAACTATTTTCTAGAAATGTTTTATAAAGCACTTTAGGTGTTCCTTCCAGGGATCATTAAGGCTCTAGTTTTCTTTGTTTTGTTTTCATGGTTAATTAAGTTTTCTCTTGGTGTTTTCCATCCCTACTCCTACTCCCTTTCTGAGTATGCTATATCAAAATTGGCTACATTGTCTCCAGGAGGTGAACTCTCTCCAAGCCCGCTCCTACCTGCAGCTCACCTGGTAGAAAGAAGATAACAGATTGCAATAAGAATCTTCTAAAGTACCCCTCCTTTTGAAAGAGGAACTGTTTAGAACTTAAGTAGCTTTATTCCAGGGCTATTTATGATCTACTTAGAAGTAAAAGATAATCCTTGGGCAGTCCTCCTGACTGCTGACAATGCAGTATGCAGTGAGAAGTCTCAGCTCATAACATTCACAGATTTTTTTTTCCCACTCCAGAAATAAGAACTGCTTGAGTGAATCTGAGTACTTGTCAGGGGTGCTAGATTATTAACAACCAAGGGCAAGTTCTCTCTTTATTAACAAACTGTGTGCCCGAAGTGTTTTTCAACATGTCCTGCCAGTTTGTTGTTCCCAACATTTCTTGTTATGATGAAAAACACTTACTATCTGTTTCTCTTTGACTGCTTTTCCCAATATTAGAGAATTTCTGGATGATCCTTACCTATCTAGAAAAAAATTTCTCTTTCTTTCTGCATGAATATCATGTATATTCAATGAAGATTTACATAAAGATTCTCTAATCAGTTTCTCATTTCTTTGTGTTCAGGTGAACCTTGCTTCAAGCAACCCCGCCTACACAAATATAATTTGGATTGTTTTAAGTTGCTCATATTTATTCAAAATATAACTTGGAGCATGATTATTTACATTACTAAAGAATATACATTAATATTAATCTAAATGAAAAATTCCCCCAATAAGATGAAAATATTCTTTGGATTACAAAATTTTCATTAATTGTCAGGAATACTCTATATGAAGAGATAGGAACATATATAGTAATTAATCTGCATGGGAAATGGCAGTTCATAGAATGATCCTCATTTATTTCGGAGTTACCAGTGTTCATGCCATCTCTCATGGGGCATAAAGACATATATGAAAAGGAAGAATTCTAATTATTTTTTCCTGTCACACTTCCAAACTTTTCAAGGACAGGTGCCTGAGTCTCAGATCCAGTCCTGTAAATGGTTGTTTGCCCTAAGCCAGTGAAATACAGATTATTTTAAACTATATTTGGCATACATTTTAGTTTGAACATATTTAAAAGTGGGTGGACAAATGATAAAATGTTTTATTCATTTGTAAAACTGACTAAATGTGGCTGATATGAATGTCCTTTTCAGAAGAATTATTTGAGATTATTTCATTTGAAGAGATACTTAATTTAAGGTGCACTGAATTTGTGACTTGCCTTATTTTATTTCATATTTCCTATAATTTATGTTTTTAAGAAAGATTAATATACCCATTTTGGCTGTTATTTGGAATTTGCTCAGTTGGCTTATCAAAGATATTTTGGAAGTATCACTAGTTATGTAAGGAACAAGTATAATTTTCTACACAAGATGCTCTGACAGTCATTTTTTTCTTTTAATATATGCTTAGTGTCCTTACAGCAATCTCATAGCTAGAAATATGTAAGGTATTGTATCAGATATTACTTCATTATTTTAATATTGCTTCATTAATAGACATCTCTCAGAATGTGCCTAAACTACATTTGGGAAAGCAGCTATAATAATTTGCCTCCTGAGAAGGTTTTGGGTTTTGCCTGGGAGCAAGGACATCTGGATGCCTTTCCTTCCAGGGCTTGCTTTTGTGTTTTTATTGTTGCTGATATTAAAGGGTGAGGAGAGTGTTAATTAATTAGTCCCCTTCCCTCCATTTTCATTTTCCAACTACTTGCAACATTTCCTACTAGTTCCCAGAACATGCCCCCAAACAGATTTTGCCTAATACTTGAATTGGTCTCAGAGTGTTTTTGTATAGAACATCAATTATTCTCTCTATCATGTACAGGGCCAGATCTACACAGGTAGCACAGACTCCAGAATTACAAAGTTACAGTTTCCTCTTTCTGCCTTAAATGCTCAGATTGATTCTCTAGATTGCCCCTTGCTGTCTCTTAGCTTCTATGAATTTTGCAGATCTTGAAGGGGCTGTTTTACGTGTTTTTGTTCTCAGTGCTGATGACATCAAACACATTATACTGAGGACTTGTCTTTTATACTGAAAATAATCACAGAATCACGTGATCTTTGTACAAACAAGTTTTGGTTTTATGACTGCTTTTTATCTGAAGGCGAATTTGCAGACTAATTGCAATGGCAGGGTGAAATTAAATATGATCATCAAAAGTTAATGAAAGTGGCAAATTTTAGCATCATCAAAAAAATAAAAATGTCCTTGATGCAGCTGGAGATCTAAGAGATAAAATTAAGAAGGAGGAGGTGAGGGCCTCACCCCGGAGGTTAGATAGTCTTATAGCTTCTCTCTAAAGGGTGTATGCAGAGAGAGGATTGAATGTAAGCCATTCTGTGTCCACAGAGAGGTGCTTGCTGTGCTTTTCTTCTGCCAAGACAGGCACTACCCTCTGGAGGTCAGCCTGACTCTGTAGTTTCTGCCCCCAGCCTCTGCTTGGCTAGGAACACTCCAGAACCCATGGTCAGCAGCCCTAACCAGAGCTGATTGAGCCCTAACTCCGTCTGCCATACACAAGCACCTCCATACCCTTCTCTTCTGCTTTTTTCTTTTATGGCTAGTGGACACAGCTAGTCCAGTAAAGACTGGTGTGAATTGAATGTATGTTCTGTGTCCCTGTGGGTCTGAGAATAGTAAGGGAGCCAGGGAAGTAGTGGGTTAAGGAATGAAAGAAAAGTTAGGGAAGCAAGCATGAAAATGGAGAGAAAAGAGAGGAAAAAGTAAGGGTGGGACGTGAGGTCATTCTGGGAGGAATACAAGTTACCCTGCTTAATCATTTAAGAGTTATTTCCCCCGGTTTTTTCCTAGCTAATCTCTTTTGTTTTCCCATTTCCATTGGCAAAATTTAGTCCAGTTTCACCATATTAATTTATGAACCCAAAAGTATCTTTACATTTAAGTCTTGTTACAGTATGTACTCCTCACACATCCCCATAAGAAATTTTGTAAGGTAATATCAATAACCGTTCTGTTTTTTAGGCAATATTGGACGTTGTTGTGAATCTTCAATTTAGCCTGATAGAAAAATTGTGGCAAACATTCTGGCGCTATTCTCCCTCTACTCCAGCTGACGGCACTACCATTACTGAATCAAGGTCAGAATCAATATGCTTTTCCAATTCATTTTCATGGCTGAGTAGATGTCACAGCTAACAAATTAGAGATATGTATACCAGTTGTGAACCTTACCTGATAACATTAATTGAATAGATTGAAATAAACCACAAACTACTCTTGAGGTTTCAGCGTGTGTATTATAGCTCCCACTTATATTGATTTGGGGGACTGCAGTAGAACTATTTCATCCTCATGGAATTAGTATCATATCTGCCTTTCATACCGTCAGAAAGTATTAACGTGCATAGGCAGCTCTGGGGGAGTGTTATATATATCCAGCCGTGTGGCACCAGGGCAATGGTGGTATAGTTCTAACCTCAGTAATATTTGGTAAACTAAAACTATTTTTAAAGTCCATTTTCTTTTTTATCCTCATTTGCCATCTATTCATTTGCTACATTTATTCACACCAGCAATCTGAGTGAAATAGAAAGTCGACTTCCGAAAGCAAAGCTGATAACTCTGTGCAAACATGAGTCTATCCTGAAATGGATGTGTAACTGTGACCATGGGATGTACCAGGCTTTGGTGGAGATTCTCATCCCCGACGTCCTTAGACCTATTCCTAGTAAGTTAAATGCAGACAAGTACGGATGCTTTTGTTCTCATACATTCCACCCAGGAAGTTTTGGGTAGTGACGTTGCAAACTAGAGTGATTCTAATCTCATTAAATTTGCCAAATAGAAAACATGCAACACAGAGTATTGCATGAAAGCAGCCTAGAGCAAAACTGTAGTAAAAAGGGAAAAATTCTCTGTTTTTCAATCTTTCATTTTCTTTTTGACAAAAAAGACAACCTATAGATGTGACAGCCCCAATGACTAATTGCAAGAACACTCCCAGGCCAGTCAACCATGTGAAAATCATTCTACCCAAGGAAAAGGTTTCCTTCATAAAGCCCCGAATTTTTGAAATCTGTAATTGCTAGACCAGCCTCTTTCATGTTTGCTTTTGATTTGAAATGAATTTATCTTGGTTTCTACTGAAGTTGAATTTCTTTATAAAAGCATTTACTTTGTCACCGACATCATGTTAAGAACTACAAATGCAGTTTCCATTAACAGTAATGGTTAACTGGCATTTTGAGAGAAAAATCAATGTAACTGCACTAGCACTGTATTCCTGCCATGAAGCACATAGGAATTACACAGATAAATTAGATTACTTTTTTAAGTGATAGTGTTTTTTAAACTACCCTGTTGCAAACAAAGCTATTTTTTGCAAGTGTCAATATAAAAGCCATCATGGATACTTGTGTTAGAGACAGTTGAAATGATTTTAGGTCTACCTCTTTATGAGCACCTACTAGTAACCTTAACTTTTAAAGATATGGAACAGAATTGCTACTCTACAGTGACATTAATAAGGTAAAAGCAATCTTTTAGCTTGTAAAATTAGCAGCCATGTACTCGAAGTACACTCTTCACAGTTAATTTGTGTTAAATTATTCCAGAAAATATTTAAATAGGGATTTAGCAAGAAACGGTGAAGATACTAACATTTGTATGTTTATACTTTCTTTTTTAAAATGTAACAGTGGAAGATACGAGTTATTTCATATGTTCCCTACCACCTTAAAATATATGCTTAGACATACATTTACATATAATATCAATGAACACACGCATAAACATATATAAATTTGTATAGAAATTAGTTTTTAAAAAATCCAGCTGCCATGGTCTCACATTTTTATAAATTACTAATATTTTCTACCCTATCTGCGCCAAGTTTCCTGACTAAAGATTGATTAAAAGTGATGTTGTCATGGAAATTTTCAACGTGTAAATTCTCTACTAATTTATGTTCCAGAATCTGATTTTCCTGTTTTTGTCTTGCTTCCTGTGCTCTGAGTGATAATCTCTAGAGATGTTTAAGAGAAGTTGCATAGGGTAGCTCATTAGCCTATGACATCTTGCCACCAACATAAATTTCTCTCATGAGATATAAGAAAAGGTGTCAGTGAACGCTTTCTTTTTTGAGGCCAGTCAACAACATCAGTGTTCATTAAACAGTCCTAAAGTCTGTTGCTTCTATGTTAGCATCACAAGACTTTAACTTGTATACTCAGCAGTTCCCTAAGTTAAATCATGTATCAAGTGTAGTTGGCTTTAAACCCCAGAATTTTTACGCACACAATACACATGACCTTTGTTTTTGGCAAATTTTGATTTGAAAACCATTTTATTTTGTCAAGTAGTTTGTCTCTGCATTCAGACAACTCAAATTCAGGAATTATCTCATGAGTATAGTTTTACAGTTTCTCTGAAATTACAAGATGCATTAAGGTGCCACCCTACCAAGTAAATTTGGAATTTTAATTCCTGTTCTATAAGAAGACTTAACAAAAATAAAGCTTAAAATACAGTGTAGGGCTTCCCTGGTGGCGCAGTGGTTGAGAGTCCGCCTGCCGATGCAGGGGATACGGGTTCGTGCCCCGGTCTGGGAGGATCCCACATGCCGTGGAGCGGCTGGGCCCGTGAGCCATGGCCGTTGAGCCTGCTCGTCCGGAGCCTGTGCTCCACAATGGGAGAGGCCACAACAGTGAGAGGCCCACATACGGCAAAAAAAAAAAA